CAAGGAATATGTTATGTGTTTAAGACTTTGTTATGTTAAAGCAAGAAACAAAAAATAATCATGTTAGCTTTGTAAAATATATACATGTCAAGATCACAATCCCATTTCCCCCTTTTTATCAGTGCAGGACAGGAAATGACTTAACACATATTAGAAGTTTCTCATTTTCAAACAGAAATATGCTTCATTTGGGGTTTGGTGAAACACAAAGCTGTCATGCTGTTTTTAAATGTGCTCTATAAAAAAGATGGTATGGTATGGTATGGATGTTGTTAGTTAAATAAGCTGATTATTCACTTTTATTCAGAAATGTTGACACCAAAAACAGCCAAGAATGTGTTCAGATTAGCCACACATGTGGGTAAAAACAGTTGGGTTCAAAATGACCCAATTTGGGCTGTTTTTTAACCCAGCCGCTGGAGCAATATTGCACCAGCCCAGCATTTAACCCAGCAAGATAGGTTCCTCCATTTTAACCCAACAGACGAGTTAAATATTCCACCCAAATTCTGGATCAAAATAACCACAAAGCTGGGTAAATTCAACCACACATGTGTGTTAATTACTCTACCTAAATGTTGGGTCAAATTAATGAAACTATGGGTTGTTTCAACTACATAATGTTCAGTAATCAATCCAAATGCTTGGTCAATATGCCAAATAATTTCTAACACATTACAGTGCATTTTAGAAGACAGAAAATTGCACCTATCCATACTCAACTATCAAAACATACATGCTAGGTTTGGTCACGTAAAGCATATACAATACAATAAAACTTCAACAATACTGAAATCTTTACAAGGCACTGCCTTGAAATGTATTTATATAAATGTAAACAATATAAAAGTTCAGAGCACTTCAGGTCAAGAACTGCAACAATGTAACTGAAATACATGTAATTCAATGCTAGAGAGCTTATTCAGCATGTGTTAGAGGTTTATCTGCTTCAGCACACCTGTTTTAATCAGCAACAAATAGCTGAGCTGCTTAACAGCTCATCTAACCTGTTAAAGCAGGAAAACCACTGAAACGTGCTGGATAACAGCTCTCCTGGAGCTCTGGGCTCAAGTCACAGTCCACTGTAAACCCCGATAAGTTCAGTCTACTTAAAAAAACCAAGGTAACCCGTTGCCTTAAATTTTTTAAGTAATGAAGAATTAGCTGAATTGATGCAGCTGAGTATGTTCAATGTACTTAAGGCCTTAATGGGATTAAATTAAAGATTTAAGTTAAATATACAAATAACAAAAGTTACATTAACTTAAGATAATTAGTTTAACCAATGCCCCACCATCCTTTTAGATAACTCAACTTGTCAAGAAAGCCTTACTTAATTACCTATCAAACAACATTGTGTATTCTAACTCAACAAACTTAACTTTTATAATACATAAAAATCAAAATATAATATTCAATCCAAAGAGCCAAATAAATACAAAATATTTTATTAAACATTTAAATCTCAAATAACACATTTGTCCATGGAATGACAATAGAATAAAGAACTGAAGGGTAAAAAAAAAACCTCCAATTTTTTTTTTTACACAAAGAGCCCACACTCTCCCCTCTGTGGTAGAGGATTAGGCACACTGAAGAAAAATAAAAAGTATTCTGACTTTAATCTCAGAATTCAGACTTTTTTATTCTGAGATGAAAGTTTAAAAAAGACAGAATTCTGAGAAAAAAGTCAGAATACTTTTTATTTTTATACAATGGCCCTAATCCTCTTCCGTACCCCTCCACCTCCTCTCAACCCCCCTTCCTCTTAACATTCATGAATAGATGAACATTTAATGAACTCTAAATTTAAAAAAGGCATGTATGGGCGTGATAAAGTAAAACTATATATAAAAAAAAAAATAATTTTATTTTTTAACACAAAGCCCATACTCTCCCCTCCATGGAAGAGGATTAGGGACACCGAAGAAAAATAAAAAAGTATTCTGACTTTAATCTCAGAATTCAGTTTTTTTTTATTCTGAGATAAAAGTTTAAAAAAAGTCAGAATTATGACTTTTTTCCTCCGTTAAAGTCAGAATTCTGAGAAAAAAGTCTGAATACTTTTTATTTTTCTTCGATGGCCCTCTTCTGTACCCCTCCACCTCCTATCTAGCCCCTTCCTCTTAACATTTGGGAATGCATGAACATGAACCAAAAGTTTCTCTAAATTTAATTTTAAAAAAGGCATGTATGGGTGTGATAAATTAAAACTATAAAAATACATAAAAATACACATCCAAAACCGCACTCTCCTCCTTTCTCTATACCTCACCCTTACATCCCCCTCCCACCTCTAATGATTTTCCCCCTCATTATTTACTTTTTAGTTAGTGACATTCTAGTTTGTCCTGCACTTTTCTCCTTTTAAAATGTGCTCTAATTAATGTTGTCAACAACGTGACAATCAAATGTGTTTTTCATGTACTTTGGGTAGTTGAGATGCAGTCAGGGACGAAATTTTGATTTCAGAAGTGGGGGGGACACAGCAGGCTTGTGCGGATTTGGGGTGGGGGGTGTTATGTAAAGACCCCTTGACACGTCACGATATTTGTGACCCAGCAAATGTGATCACTTTTCTCTGTTAACCCATAATAAAGACATTAAAGAACCAAACTTCATGAATGTTTTTTGTGACAAAGAAGTATCTGTTCCAATCACTCTATCAGAGAAAAATCAGAGTTTTAGAAATAACGGCACACTCAGTAGAGCCATTATATTATATTTTTTACAAGTGTATGTAAACTTCTGACCACAACTGTATATATATATATATATATATATATATATATATATATATATATATATATATATATATATATATATATATATATATATATCAAAGTTAAAAAATGTACAACTCTTATTATTTTTATTTATTATCATTATTGAAGTGCAGTTTTGGCTGTTGACAATGGATAGGCCATTGTATTTATTGTTTTGGGTCTTTTTTTATTGTTTTTGGTGCAACATTTTCTAACAGGGAGTGAGATTCCTTTTTTATTTTATTTTTGTTTGTTATTTTTATTCATTTAGAAGTTCTGGTTCTGGACATTTCAATGTTAAATGAAGGTTTATTTGTTGCATTTTAAAGGGTGTACTTGCATTATTATGATATATTAACATTATATTAGTGGTTATTTTGGTCTAGATAATGTTGACAATGATATCGTTTATCATCAACAATTTGTTGGACAAAATATCGTCCAGCAAAATGTGTTACTTTCCCAGGCCTAGTCAAAAGTATAAAAATTATTTATACATAAACGGTCCTCCTGAGATCTGGCCGTTTGTTCATTTGCTGTGTTAGAGGACATGCTGAACTAATGTTTTACACATGATCATCACCCTAACATTTGAGTGTATAAAAACATATTAAATGTTTTTTTCCCTTAAAAGTGTTTAAACAGTTGTTGCATTTCAACACACAAAAAATAAATGGAAAAAATAAGATAAATCTAATGAAAAGTGTACATCTTTGACATTAAGCTTAAAAAAATCTGTTGAAATCTGTTGACGATGATGATACTGTTCATTTTTCAGAGCTTTTTAATGTGAAAATATGCATTGCAATAGATAAGTTTACAATAAAGTTAAATGATAAAAGTTTTGAAGTTACACTTCTACTACTACCACTACTAGTAATAATAATTATGATGATAATAGTAATAATAAATAAATAATAATTATAATAATACGAATAAATTGTGTCTGAGGAGTCAGTTATGTGGAGGAGATGAGTTTGTAAAAGTTAGTTTTGAGTATGTTTGTGAAGGAGGAGGTGAGTCTGAGCTTAATGCAGGGGTGTCACATGTTCCAACTTACGTTTTGACTTTGAAAGAAGTCTCTTATATCCACTTTTCATTTTCTTGACATGCTGCCTCCTGGCTGTGCCTAACTACCAAAGACTCACAAATGAACACTTATTCAAATGTTATGTAATGAAAGCTGAGCTGAGCTCTGATATTACACAGCGTCTAGTTGACGATGTGACTCAGTACCGGTGTTCCCTAGCGGCTCCAAACTAGCAAAACAACGTGAGCACGTTCTGACTGTTTACAACTTGAGTGACAGCAGCAACAGCCAATAATACGTTAGCAAGTATCAGCAGAGCCAATAGATTAGCTTTTGGGCGGGTCTAATAGGAAACCGGTTTCCGTTTCGGTCCTAGTGCTCAACCAAATCCATTTAATGGAGCGTAATATTGTTTTTGGACGGAAAAAAGTGCAGGGGACCAAAACTGCCTTTTGAAAAAGTGGGGGGGACATGTCCCACCCGTCCCCCCCCAAAATTACGTCCCAGGATGCAGTGCATAAGTAAGTCCAAAGAGGATGTACATGGCCTGGGGCAGGTTCTCGGCATCCATCACAATCTTGCCCTCCAAGATGATTCCCACTGAGGATGTATGGTGGTGGAGGGACTGCATGTGTGCTGAAATATCCTGTTCACGGCAGAGGATCCCCACTGGAACATCACTCCACAAACTGTCTTCACCGTCAGTGTCCTAAAAAAAGGAACAAAGCATAATCACGTCCAAATTACAAAACAGTGTGATACTGGTGACGAACTAAAGCAACAAATGTTTTCCCTCATGTAGTTACTAATTTACACCAGAAGATGGCAGACAAACTGCCCTGATTTCATTATTTATTTACTGATACTAGCTGCTCTCTCGGTTGTAGGTGATCCTCTGGTGTCTGCAGCTGGTCTCTGGTGTCGTCAGGATCAGGAGCTTCCAGAAGAATGTGCCTTTCAATGACTCTTTCCCCCTTATTTGTTATATTAATTAAATAAATCTCAATTAATATATTTCTTGTTTTTGTTCATGTCCATAAATACTTAAACATGCTTGAAATTAAAACGAGCTTTTAACAGTGAGGTGCTAGTTTAATTCATCAGAATAGAGCTAGTTAAACATGCACCAATGTGATAATTCAATTAATGTAATTTATAAATATCCATTAAAATATCAAAATGAGATATTTGGCAGCACAAAAAACTTGTCAAACACAATATTTATTATAATAATTGTAGGCAGACAGGAGACAGAGCTGATGGAGGTTCTCAGTCATCGAAGGAAGGCTGAAGGCTTTCCAGGAACAGGAGATGTGGTGTTGTCTCTTCTCTCTCTATTCTGCCAGATGAGCTGATAGGTTACAGGTGTGTGAGGACATCCTCATGCTGTCATAACCAGATGACAGGAGTTATCAGGTGATCAGCCAGGCTAATGATGAGATGCAGAAAGAAAACAAATCCAGGACAGTGTACAATAATAATATGTGGTGTTGCTCACCTTATGTGCTCTTATAGAATATTAACGTGTGCCTGCCTCATGGTGTAGAGTCCATATTTTGCTGAGTGTCCTGCAATAATGCAGGTTATTAGTTCATTTACTTTTGATAGCAAAGAACAAAATATTTAATGTAAAAGTTATTTACCAGGTGAATCAGCTCACACGTCACCACCAAGTGTCACAGGGCCAGAATCAGTAGCCTCCTTCATGATGCCATGATGTAATCACATACTTATTTAATTGTTGATATCTTAAAAATTCTGAAATGTTTTAATTTTTTTTTTACCTTGAACAGCTCACTGAGCTTGCACTGTCACTGAGGTGGAAGCTGGAATCAACAGCAGACACCTCACATCTTGGTCTTTTCAGGGGTGTGGACGCTGCTCTGGGACTTTCTGGAAGATGAATTTCTGTCATGGTCCCCATGTCACAAGACACACTGAGGCTGTGAGCTCTATTCTGGGTGGCTATGTAAAAAACAAAGAAGCAGCACATTTATAAATCTTTAAAAGAGCATAAAATCACGTGTAACAATAATCTGTAAAACAAATTAAAACTAGAAGGTGATAATAAAATGTTTACATAGAAGATTATTAAAAATAATTCACCTTTGCTATGCCGGTAAGGCTTCACGTCAGCCTGGACAAGTGCATTCTTGCAGCTAAATCAGTCTGACAGCCAACGTCTTGGGTAGATTTAGCCTGAAAAAAAAAAATAGAAGCACATTGTTGTTTATAAAGTCAGATAATATACAAAAGAAACTGTCCTATATAGGCGCTTTATAACATTCCTAGTGTGTGATGTTATTATAACGTAAAAGTCAGTCGCATATGATGTGGAGAGCCTGAAATGCGACCTCCTGAACAGAATTCCTCACGGAACCTGTTCACAAGCTGGATTTCACGCTGTAATGCTGTCTGTCAACTAGTGCTGCGTCAGTAAGAGTCACTGTTGCAGAATTACCGACTGACAAAAAAACAACCCGAATTTTCCCTGAGCCTGACAGTCATAGTCATGTGGACCGTTTCCTCGGCCAGGGCTTCGAGATATGTCCCGATTCGCCGCTGATTCTAAACTTACATCCCGTTCCACATTTTGTGAACTTGACAAATCAGCCCGAAGGCAGCGCAGGCTGATATTAGCTAAATGGAGTGAACCACGTCTCTCAAACTTTGCATTTAGGTAGGAAATAGTCTTTAGAAGATGTTAAAACTTTATTTAGCTGACTCACCTCAGACTGTAGCCCGCCGTGGTGGGGGAGCAGAGTCGGTGGGCTGCATCTAAATCGCGGAAGAGCCACGGTGGGCACAGCCTCCCTCTTCAAATGGAGACATGCAGAATCGCAGGTAAAATGCTGGTTGCAAACTACAGCACCAGGTGGGAGCTGAATGTTTTCCAGACACCGATTGCGCGCAACCACTGGCGCCTAATTTCTAAGTCCAGCAGAAAGGAGTGCAACCCCACAGAGCCACCGCAACCATACTACACTACACCTTCTCACCATACTGATATGGAGCACTAAACCCAAACTACTTTCCTAATTACACTAACAGCCAAACACTAACTAAACTACAATATCCAACAGCCAAGCTAACACTAAATAAGGATGTATAACACTAAAAGCTATGCTAAAGACTAGGATATGCTAATGCTATATGCTAATGCTGAACTACCGCTAACCGTCCTACACTCGCTTGCAAATCCAACTCCCAACTCGCCACAAGGCGTGGCCGAGACTCTCGTTGCTTTTATAACTTTGACACAGAGCTGCTACGTAGTACTCTACTGGTTTACGTAGTATCTTACTCTTTAGCCATTGGCCAAAGTGTATTCAAAATGACTCAAATTCTATGTTTTAAGCTGAAGGTGGCGCTATACTGTGGTATTTAGGCAGAATTTTTAATTTTTAAAGAAAATGCACCAAAATGCTAAAATAATGAATACACACATTCAAAACACTATTAGACACTCATTTATACAGTTCATCAGCAAAAAAAAAGTTAATGTAGACGTTACTTACTCTTTAAGAAATATCCTTCAAAAGGTCACTCTGACATCAAGTCGTGATATAAAAATAGCATAGGTCTTGACTGCACTACAATCAGTTACAATTATCATTTATATCAGGGGTGTCAAAACATAACATGCGGCCTGCGGGCCGGATCAGGCCCGCACACAGTTTAAATCCGGCCCACGAGATGATTGTGTAAACCTTATTTTCAGACTTTACAATGTAAAGTCTGAAAATAAGGTTTCATTTTTCAATTCAACTGCTGGTGAAATCTAAAAGATGTCAGGTATCAGGAGTCAAAGACATGCATGAAACTGATATAGCCATGTGATCTGTGAATCAGTTATTTGAATTACTGAGGAATAGTCTGGGTTTTTTGTTTTGTATTTCACATTTTCAAAAACACTTCAGGTGTTTTATTATTAATAGTGATGTTGTGCTTAAACTATTTTGGATACACTGTCCTCAGGCTCCAGCTTTGTTTTGTGTTGATCGTATTAAAACAAAGAAAACAATCTGAAGCAGTTTTTAATTTATACATACTTTAATTTTACTGGCCTGGCCCACTTGAGACTAGATTTTCCTCAATGTGGCCCCTGAGCAAAACTGAGTTTGACACCCCTGATTTATATTATGTGACAACATAAGCTGCATTAGGTGCTTTCCAACATTATCATCTATTACATATGACAGTAAAAGCTGTTTTTAATAGTGTTCGTATTACATATGACATTATCATCAATTACATGTGATAGGGAACATTTTGTAATGCAGTTTATCAGGCGTCGACGGCCTGAAGCAGTGTGTCATGTTCCACAGCCTGACCAGCAATGATGACAAAGGCTTGAGACACATGTTGTTTATCATTTCCCAATGTCAGGACGTAGGGGAATGGTCTTGATGTCTTGTCCTCGTGGAGGTATTCCACCATGTTGGTTCCAGGCTAAAAAACTGAGAAAGAAAGCATAATGACGAACAGGTGAGAAGGTATGAGTGAGTAAGGAACAAATGTCTACCAACATCAACTGGGTGACAGTGGCACAGGAGTTAAGTGCTTGCCCTGTAATCAAAAGGTTGCATGTTCAAGCCCCGTTCAGTTTGTCGCTGTCACGTTTACATGCACAAATTTAATCGGATTGAATGCCCAATCAGATCAAAAATTCTGCATGTAAACATGTCAATCAGAATATTCTGATCTGATTCGGCCCAATCAGACTGAAATTTCAATCCGATTGAGAGAGGTGGTTTATTCCGTTCATCATTCCGATTGACTTGCATGTACACAGCCATTCGGATTGTTGGGGTAAAATAATGCCCACTGCGCATGTGTGCAACAGCGAGCGGGCCTCTCCGCTGTCATTTGGACTGCCTGACTTCAAAAATGATGGCGTAATTAACGAGCGGCGGCTTTTAAATCCGACGACAAGCCGTCCCCGTCTCAGTAATATTTAATTCAGAACTTGCATTTTGTGGAAGTAAAATAAAAATCTGATTATTGCACAAATCATTCGACAAACATGTTCAAATCTGTACTGGAAATACGCAGGTTTATTGCAGGGGTTGCAGCGCACGGATCCCCGTTTCTATCAGCTTTGAACGCAGCAGCTTCTGCAGCAGGTGATGGAGACGCGCTTGTAAAGAACACAGGATAATATGGGTTTTACAGACCTGATTGGAGGCTGATGTTGGGTAGGAAAACGTCCTCGGTTAAATACTCTGGACAACGGTAAAGTCCGTAGCACGTAAACAGCAGATGACCTGAGATGCGGTTCGTTAATGAAGAACACAGGCTTCTAAACTTTCTGAACATCTTCTGTTGTTTTGTTTGAACAGATTTTTCTCAACAGTTTCAGCTGATTGTCACATATTATTAATAAGCCACAACAGAGCTCAGTAATAAAACATGAGTCTAACCCCCCCCCCCCCCCCCCCCCCCCTGTGCAGTATGTACAGTCTATGGCCGCAGCGCAGCGCAACAGCACAGCTGTCACTTCAGACCCGCGGACCAGCTGATCAAGAGGCAGACATAACCCTCCCTTATTTTAATCAACAATAAAATGCAGCAAAGCATATATCTGCAGTTATTCACTGAAGAAAACGTAACTTCTATGAGCTAAATAAAAATATTAAATTGAATAAATGGATCAGGAAAGCAGGAAGAATAGTTATTTCTGTTTTTACATTTTTCATTTCGTTTCATGGCGTTTGTTTAAAATTTTTCTTTGGGAAAGGCAACTCTGCGCATGCTCAACCTATTTAATCGGATTAAATGCTCGGTGCATATGTACGCACGGCATGATCGGATCATTTCGGTTCGTGTCCATGTGAACAGAGATTCGGAAATTCCGATCAACCAAGATTTCAATCGGATTGAGGAAATTTGGCACATGTTGGGCAAGACACTTAACCCCCCCTTGCCTCTGTCAATACACACCAGGGCAGCAATGGCTACCCAGCATGTGAATGGGTGAATGACTGACTGTGTTGTAAAGTGCCTCAGGGGGGTTCCAGGGCTCTATAAGATGCTATATCAAATGTTGGGTTATTTTAGCAGCACAGGTTACCTAGAGTGAATCACAAGCACAGGTGAAAGCTGAAACATTTTATTTGTCTCTGCAGAGGGAGAAATGTGAAAACCAAGAACAAACCAACCCGGTGTGGAATTCGACAAATCTCAAAGAGTAGACCCCCTTTGAGCGTCTTTTATTCAGTACAGAGCACACACATCAGCACATTCCTTGATAAGTGAAATAAGAAGTGATATTTGACTGTTTATCCGTCTGGTTCCGCTCCCATCTGTGTGTCCAGTCATTCACCCAGGGAAAGGAGCTGATCAGCGGAAAACAACCCTCAGGAGGCCACTCTGACCTTCGGTCGAGTTATAAACACACTAAGCAGAGCATATGGCTTGTGTAACTACTGCACTACAATTATTTATAATATGTGACGGTAAAAGCTGCATTACAAATGTTCCCTAACAAAGGCCATTTATCATTTAACTAGTAGCAGAATTTAAAAAAGACATTATGACAAGCATTTTCCTGGTCCTCACAAGAAAAAATATTATTTTAAAGAGCACAATTCAGGTTAGAGACTCCCATGAACAAATGTTTAGAGAAACACAGTAAAAACTCGTTTAAAATTTTTTTTACACATGCATAATTTAGGCTTTAAGAGTCATTTCTGAGAGATTTT